CCATCTTTTACTTTACTTGGTAATTTCATTATCGAAAGTCTTCAGTTATTGATCCACTTATTTGAATTATTTATTGTGTAATGAATATTAATCTAACAGTCATTTATTTAAATTTTAAAACATACAGATATTTCAAGAGTGTCTCACATGGAAAGATATATCAATATTTCAAATAATACTTTTTATCTATTTTCTTCACTTTGACGTTGTTATAATTCTGTGTGAGCGAGTATTGTTGCACGTGATATAAAATCAATGAAACCATCAAATCAACCTACCTTAGGAGGTTTAAAGGGATATTCTGGCGAGAAATGTATATCAAGAAAGAACACACCACCCTCGTAAACCGAACCTGGAGGACCCAATATGGTAGAAACCCATTCATACAAGTTATCACCTTTCGGTCCTGCACTGTAAAATGAATTAACCAACAATTAATTCTATTATCTACATTATCATTCTCATGAAGTATATAAACCGTTTCATAATTCATATTATCGCGTAGCTGTAATTTCGAAATATTGTTCCAAAAAGAAATACAACCAACAGCAATTGATATCATACCTGCAATTAGGAGGTGGGTCTAACGTAATTTCTGCCAATTCCTTTTGTATCCTGGATAAAAATATTGAAAGTATTTAGCGACCACAAATTACTTTAATCTGCGTTGTTAACTCAACTACATGTAAATACATGTAATTACCATATTGCGAAACAAGTCTTATTGCATTACCTCTTAGCGGACGTTCCTAAAGCTTTCGACATCTTTGGATTTGGCTTAGCTTCTTTACTGTCTGGTTTATTGTCTGCCAAGGAGGAACCACGTCCTCGTCCAGTTCCGCTAGAGCCTGCTCCTGACGACATGACTCTGCGACAAAGCACACATGTATTGTTAATTACGCATAAACTTCTGCAAATTATTAATTTAACGGCAGGAAATAACAGAAGGACAAGTATTATAAAAGCACAAATAATTTCAGAGCGTAGGAATGAAAGTACATGGGGTACACATCGTGTTTACGTCTCCGTTTAACCGTGGTCGGTATTTGGCGAGATGTTTTTACAGAAAGACACCGATTATTGACTCTACGAAACTACGAATGTTCCTGTCTTCGATGCATAAAACGCAGATCCATCGCAGGAGAAAAAGAAGGGACACTGGTAGAACGAGTCTCTCGTTCTCTTCGTGAAAACTAACGTCACACGTGCAAAACAAATAGAGCGGAGCACAAACGGCTCTCGCCGGAATAAACCGAAATTACAGTTAACAATTCGAAGTCGGCGATTCTTCGTGGCGGCTGAAAACGCGAATATACAAATTGATAAATGCACCGTGAATCAAACGCTTCCGGGAACGGTCCGTGTCTGTCTCTCTTTCTCTCCCGGTTACGCTTTCGGCAGGGTGGCGACGTGTCGTGCAACAAAGACTCTCGGTCGACATAAAACACACGATTTTCCGCCCCTCACCGTCAACCCAGCCCTCCCCGCCTGCGCGGGCAGAAACATAAACATCGCGCGTACTTGATCGTCGCCGGATAAGTGTCCCGTCGCTCTCCGGCGGACAATCTAGCGCGTCGGTGTACTTTTAAAACGGCGTCGGTCTAGCCCGAGGAGGCCGGAAGAGAAACGTCGGAGCTACGACGTGCGAACAATGTGCGGGCCGAGAGAAAGAGAGAGAGAGACGTACGTGACGATTCGGATGGGCCGAAAAAGAAAGGGACGGAGACTCGTCTAACGTCATCGCGTTGTTGTCTCCTCCGGTCGGGCGACCCGAGGGGGGGGGGGGGTTCAACGCGCCCAAAATTGATTTCCCTTCACGGAACACGGACGAGCACGCGTTTTTCTCTCTCTCTCCTTCTCTCTTTCTCTCTCTCTCGCGCGCGCAGGCAGGCAAGAGGCGCGAGGACTCCGGCTCCGGTTCCGGCTCGACAGCGAGCGCCGGGTGTCTCGGGAACGACGTACATTCCCCGGCGTGTCGTCTACATGCCGTCTTTCCCTCTCCGTCTTCTAGCAGGGTCCCTTTTAGGACACACGCACACGCACAGTGCCCACTTCTGGCCGTTTCCTAACCCTCTCCTTCGTTCTTTTTTGTCCCCTCCCCTCGCGATTCGCTCGCGAGTGTCGCGGGCCCGAGGAGGCCTGAGAAAAAAAGAGCGGTGCCGCGCCGATGTGCGATGTACCTCGTGTCCGTCCGGTGCGTCCACGCCGTGTTTGCTGTCGTCTCGCGGCAAGCCTAGCTTCGCCGGGTCGCCGACGGCAGGGGAGGGAGAGGCAGCGGGAGAAGGGCGGGGAAGGACCGGTCCGCCGCTTGAGAGATGCGAGACCCGCGAGACGGTTCCCTCGGCGGCGCCTCGGCGCGGCGACGGTGTCGCCGGGATAATGGAGCCGCGCGGATCGGGGGCGGGATGCACGCGGCAGCGGCAGCAGCAGCGGTGGCGGAGACCGGAGGCGGCGGCAGCGGCTCCGGCTAGTCCGGCTCCGTTATTGTCCTCGAGTCGGGCGGGAGTACGCGGGGGAGCCCGCGCGAGTAACGCGCCCTACGACGAGATCGCGCCGCTCTCGATGCAACAGCGGCACGCAGCACTCGCGAGGAGAGTCGCGAGGAACGCGCAGCGCGCGGCGCATCGGCGCGGCTCTGCCGCGCGGCCGTCCGACGGTCAACGGGATCGACGACGCGGACGACGACGACGACGACGGCGACGGCGGTGATGACGGTCGCGTATACGCGACAACGCCGTGAAAGGTTCGCGGTGGCGGAGGCAACGGATTTCGAATCGCCCTCGCGGATTGTCCTGTCCCGGAAGCCCAGCGCTTCTCAGGCCCACGTTCTCGTATCGCGAGTACCGCGACCATTCATCTCACTTTCATGTGCCGAAATCGCGATCGCGGCGTCCTTCTCCCGTCGGCGAGCGCCGAAACGTGCGCATCTCTGCCTCGCCGGATGTTGACTCTGTCGCCGCGACGGCGGACGCTGGCAAGCCTGACACAGGGGCTACAATCTCCCATGGTTTTAGAGGAGCCAGCGTTTGTGGCGCCCTCGCTGTATGTCACCCACAAGAGCCGAACTAATTGGCCAATATGACCGAACCGCGTCGGTAAATGTGCGCCGCTATTTATACATACTTCTTAGCTATATAAATAAAAAAAAATATATATATATGTATATATGTATATGTACATGTGTAATATACATATATATATATATATATATATATATATATATATATATATATGTGTGTGTGTGTGTGTGTGTGTGTGTGTATATATCAGAGCCAGGATTTATAGCATATTCGATTTGCTGACTCGACCCGACTCCGAGTCGAAAAAGTACGATCAAAAGTACGATTTTTGCGGACATCGTGTTTCAAATCGAGAATCGGCATGAAATGTGCAACTAAATCCCGGCTCTGGATATATATATATATATATATAAGTAAAATATATATAAGTAAAATGTATATATATATATATATAAGTAAAAAATTAAATTTTGTATTAAAAAAGAAACGCTCGTAATAGTTATATTGATACAATATTTTATTTATCACAAAAGTATAAATAACCGTAGCATATATGCACATGAATATGCATATGTGATGACCGATTATAGTTGTCTCGACTATCACATCCGATTATTTTTGCCGACTTTTTTTGAATATAAATTTAATTTGGATGTAAATAGTTAATGTTTTGTTATCGCAACAATGTGTAAATAGTGAATGTTTTGTTATCGCAATTTTATAAAATTAGAGAGGAGTATTGATAAATCGTACCATTGGTTAAATAGTATCTTTATTTCTTAAATTTTTTTTTTGCAGGACGAGGTGAACACACAAATTGCAATAAACAATA